CAAAACCACAAAGATAAGAGTAATTTAATACTGTTAGCTGCAGACGGCCATAACACGCCACCTAATGAGCATTACCCAGATCTCCCAGCTGCACATGACCCAGCACATACAGTCCTCCCTTCTTCAACTGATTTACAAACAGGATGAGCTGGCTGGAAGAGCGGGGGTTGGCCACCATCAACAACACCTGCGGCCTCCAGAACTTCACGTGGTCTTTCCTCACATCCAGCATCAGCAGATACTTGCGCACCTAAAAACCAGAGCAGACAAAGAGAAGCGAGACTATTGAGAAACTGTAGTGCATGCTGGACTTTGTGTGTATGAGTGCGAGTGACTGTGTCCAGATAACCTGGTGGAAAATGAGAGCCTGGCTGATGTAGCCCCAGCTGCTAGTGGGCGATCTGTAGTGGAGGAAAAGCAGCAGCAGTAGGAGGAGCACGATGCTGCCCGAGGAGTACACGGGATTGATGACGAACATCATGGCCAAACAGCTCACAATCCCCAGCAGGCAGGTGTGCCAGGAAAAGAGCTGGAAGGTTGGTCTGTTAAACACACACACAGACAAGACATGAACAGCAGGAGCGGATGGATATCACTTTTATGGCAATATATGTTTAGCTTTTGTAGTGTCACAGAACAAGTGTTTTCTTATGTCCTTCCAGAATTGATTAATTGATTACACTTTCATGGTACCACAGCACAATGTTAAATGTAGGCACAGAAGGACTAAAATGCTCTCGGGCTGTTATATTTACAGTCCTGTTACTAAGTGCTTTCAACTGCTTTGCGGTCACAATCAAATAATTAGCCATTTGTTCTATGAAAATGTCAGACGTTTTTGAAAAATTACCATCACATCTTTCTTGTCAACACAGACTCCAAACAATTAAACAATAACCTCACGATAATACAGAAAAGCAACAAATTCTCACATTTGAGACCCTAAAATGTTTTTCACTTTTGCTGGAAACCATTCGGATTAGAACCAAAATCAGCTAATGCGGTGACACATTATTGCTGCAGCTTCACTGCAACTTATCCTCCTGCTGAATTCATGCTAATATGATGAAGCTTGCTGTTGTCTGTTAATGTGACGACATTGTAGGTTCCACAATGTCAAGAATGAGTTGCCACTGACAGAGGTCAGCAGACACCACACAAGTTTTTATTGTTCTTTCTCTACTGATTGATCAGTATTTATTACGACTCTACTTAAGACATTTTGCAGAATTTAAAACCTTAAGCATGAGTTAAGCATTTTAGTCATTAACGTGCATATTTTGAAACTAGACATCACAAGCAAGGTGCAAGGTGCTCTGAATCAAAAAGCACTGGGCACAGCATGATAGTGTGGTAGCAACTTTTTACACATATAGTGCTTTATCAGCTGTTTTACACTAAACAGGGCTACATTTTATAACATAAACACTATGCTAACTTGCATATAAAGTCAAAAGTTTAAGTGTTTAAAAGTGTTTAACGAGGCGATTAATCATGCAAGAAGTAAGGTTTTGGGTCCATACGAGTTAACCTTTAAAAAAATCCTAGTTTAAAGCATTTGTCCATTGGCTCCATTTTTTTTTTAACCCAGAGGCTACAGCCATCTTTAATATACAGTCTGTGCTCATTACCTGAAATTTGGAGCTGATGCCCACTCAAGCGCCAAACAGGCCAAGTCAACTGCAGCGTAGGCAAGTAAGTAGAAAACAGTCACCAAACCTGCTATCGCATTGAGCTCCCCTGCAAACACAACGCACTGCAACAAGCCACAAACTACAGGTTAGTCAACCAGTTCCAATTTCAAAAACAGGGACCTGCGGGCTGCAGGAACTCACCTGTGTCAGGCCCCAGGTGAACAGCACCGCCACCCAAGGATTTCCTGAAGGTGATGTGATGGCAGCTGGGGCTAATGGCAAGCCTTTGAGGAAAACCATTAAAATTTCATATTTAATTCCATAAGAAGTATAAAAAAAAATTTAAAGGATGAGCCTTACCAAAGAGGTGATCCAGAGCAAGAGCATGCAGGATACGGGATGCTCCGATCATGGCACACATCGCTGCTGACAGTGAGGCGCAGTATATCCCAATAGTGACAAATGGTGGCCATAAGTTGATCCGTTGCAAGAAGCCATAATCTTGAGTCAACAGGGTCCTAAAGAAATATGTTTGTTATCATAACTCAAACTTATTTGTATGTCATTTATATTTGATAAGCCATTTCCGACCTGTCGCAGGTAGCGCTGATCATGAGAAAGAGCAGGACGTAGACGATGAAAGTATAACTGACAGCTATGATGGTGCCTTTAGGGATTGCAACACTCGGATTCTTCAGCTCCCCTGCAGAGATGAGTGGAGTAAGAGCTGCTGTCATGAAGTGCATGTTTATGTACGTGAGACCAATTTTTGCATGTTCATACAGTATTGTGCAAAGGTCTTGAGCCACCACCGATTCTTTATACTTCTCTGATAAGGAGCCAGACTATTATGTCTTAAGGAATAGTTCTCCAGGCTTTCGAACGAACTTTTGAAGTTTTGAATAGGCCGCTTCTTCACTCATTTACACTCCAGTAATTGCACCTGACCATCTCCAGAAGAATGTCTTTCATAAGCCACTTCACACTGACACCTAAAAGACACCTAACTCAAGGGATGAACCAATGTTGCGTTTACACAAAACAGACAACTTAGCAAAGAACCAATTTTAAATTGTACCTTTAGGCACTTTGTTACCAGCAGCGTGTTGCAAAAACACATCATTTGTTGCCGTCTAAGGAGCTTGGAAAGAAAAGCGTCTGGACTTCTTTAAGTTGCTTGAAGACGTTTCACCTCTCATCCGAGAAGTGTCTTCAGTTCTAAGGGTCAAATGGTGGAGAGTCCCAGTGGTTTACCACACCAACTGTCTGCCATCTATAATCCAGTTTTGAGAACCCTTCCCAGACGCCTTAGCGCCCACTCACATCCTGGGCCATCTGACCTCAGGAAATCACATGATAGGGTGGGGCCAGGTTTTACAATGAGCTCACCCGAAACCCTGGCTGATTGTGACCCACACCCGTTTTCACACCTCGGCTCATGTGATTAGGTAGAGGATCGTCAGGGGGTCCTTTGTCCCTCTTTGGGGGGAAACTCCCACTGGGTTTAAAGCTGTTACTCTCCACCATTTGACCCTTAGAACTGAAGAAGCTTCTCGGATGAGAGGTGAAACGTCTTCAAGCAACTTAAAGAAGTCTAAATGCTTTTCTTTCCAAGCTCCTTTGACTACAATGACCTGGATGACTGAGGACCTTCACAGACATCATTTGTTGCCATTTCTTAAGAAAAGATAACAAAGTTTGATAGATACAAAAAAGTATTTTTTAAATATTTACATGATTCCCAAAGAGCTATCAGCTGAAAACTTGACACATGTCAGCTTAGTGTGCAGCGTGTCCTTAAAAACTATTTGGAACCTGGACAAGTGGAGAACAAACGTCTACTTGTCCACTTGTTTCCAGGGCTTAAAAAATATCCACAATATTATCTGAAAGTCATGCCCTTAAGAGGCGGGAAAAGGTCGAGCTAAGGCCTGACAGAGAACTGAGAAATAAATCTTGTCCACCAGTTGATCCATAAACTGTTCACTGAAGCTTCATCAGAAACAATCTCTGTGAAAGGATGGCTATCAAGGAATTCTTAAGAGAAAAGGAAATATGTACAGAGGAGGTCAGGGATATTTACAGCCATCTGTGAAACACAGTGGAGGCTCTGTCAAGGTTCTGCACTCCTTTTTAGTCAGTGGTGTCAGAGACCTTGCTAAAATTGATGAAATTATGAATGTCATCAGTTTGCAAACACACTACCAATGCAGAAAAAAAACTACCTGGACAGAAAAACCACACAGTGGAGCACGATCAGTCATGATCAATCGAAGCATCGTGACAGAAAATGGAACAAAAAGCAGCCCAGCATCCAAAGAAGAGCTTTGAATGTGTTTCAAGAAGCCTGGAGAACTATTAGTGAAGACTACTTAAAGACATGACAGGGTGCATTAAAGAATAAAGCTGAACACACCAAATATTGACTTTCAAGCTTGTTAGACTCTGTTTTTGTCTTTTCCTCTCATATTTTCATGTATCTTTGCACTTTTCAATAAATTACTCCATGCATTTAAAATTTTTCCTCACAAAATATAAAGAAATGAGGGATGACTCAAGACCTCTGCGCAGTGCATAATGCACCACGAGGAGACCTTGAGAAAACAGTCACAGAGATCTTTTGGGTATTGCGGTAACACAAGATAATATAAGAAACGATAACAGGAAGTGAAAGTCCTGCTTTTAAATCTACCACTAGATTTTGGTAGAAACTGCAATATCTGCCTCTGAAATGTCGTTCAAATAATCAAAAAGACGTAAATGTTCAAGAAAAAGGAAAGTATTTAAAAATATCGCTAGTAGCACTGTCACACGCAACAAATTTTCACCTGACATGTTGGCTCCAGCCATGATTCCTGTGCAGCTGGTGAACATGACAGCAAACACGGTGGCAAAAGACATGACAGAGTTGGTGCTGTAGTCCAATGAGTAACCAGCTAGAGAGAAAGGGGAAAAAAGAGGAACCTCAGCAAGACCTTAAATAGATGCTTCCCTGTCCTTACAAGCATTAACACTTGTGGCCCATCTATACTTACGGCCCAGGTTGTTCTTCAGTGTGGTGGCGCTGAAACCCGTGTAGCTGGCGTTGTAATGGAGGGTCTGGTTGCCATGTCCGTGGTGGGTAATGTTGAATTCTTGAGGTTTGACTGCTACAGAACTGATGAAGACGGACAGCAGCGATACAGTGACCACCAGCAGGATGACGAAGGCGGTGCGGGAGTAGATGTGGGCGCCCACCAGACACACAAGCAGACACAGCAGAAGGATTACTGAAGAATACAACACTGTGTACCAGTAACCCTGGGGAAGCACCCGCACGCCCGTGGACACAGAGGAGTCTAAAAAGAAAAAAATCAGGCAGAAAACTTATGCAGGATGGGATGAAGTAAATGAAGTAGATCATTTAATGGAAAAAATATATATATAGTGAAACAAAATACGAGTAGAACCTTACCGGGATCTGCACCAAATACATCAAGTATGGCTTCTACGAGACCTAGAACATAGCCTCCACATGCAAAGATTTTTGCTAGAAAGAACATTAAACCAATACTTCCTCCAAACTCGGGTCCCAGAGACCGGCTTATCATGTCTGATCGTGTTTTTGTTAAGGCTTATGGTTCACCTGAAACTGTGGCAAAGAATGCATTAAATAAAAGAAGTTTGAAACAGTTTGGTCTGTAAGGATACAATACGCTCCACCGCCCTGTATCGCACCATTGGTGGAAATAGCACAGATGGACAGTATCGTAAGAGATATGATGGTGTAGGCTACAACCACCATCAAAAGAGCCTGCAACAGGCCCGCATGACCAACCACAAACCCTGCAAACAAGGAGATCACACCATGTGAGTCACTACAGCACAATGACGTGAGCCATTAAAAACATGCCAAGTGTGGCTTTTTTTTTTTAATCTGTTCAAACATGCGCCTCTCACCTGTTCTCAGAAATAGCACAATGCTGAACATTGAGAGGACGGTTGGCACCATAACACCGAAAAACGTGTTCAATTTTCGAGGATTCTGATTTGGCGTCCCGGGGCTGGATTCTTGGGTGGGGTCCGTATCCGTGCCACATACCGCTGCAGTCACATTCAGACCGCACACCCCTGAGGTGATCAGGGGCGTGCGTTCGTTTGACATGGCTGCAGAGAAGAGGTTCTGCTTAGTCTGCTCCTGTGGAAAAAAAGAAACCAACAGAGACCGTTTTAAAACCATTTTGAAGCAGTTCTACAGAGTTTAATCTGCTTCAGGTAGGCAGCAGCTGAACTTGGAGTTGATGGCCTGAGTCACTTCTACCTTGTCTGTCTGCTTTGTGCACAACACAGATTGCTGTCATTTGTTAATCCCAATTTATCTCTCACTTATCTCCCATTCTCCTTTTGTTGACTTGGACATATGAAAGCCTGCAGGCTAAAGGGCGTGGCACGGTCAACAGGAACTCCATTTTCACACAGTTTTGAAATCACGCTGAGAATTTGCCTCCTCGCCCCTTTCAGTGCCTCCTAAAAACAAGTGATCATCATGTGAAACAACAGCAAATGCCCTAGAACGTCTTATAAATACTTACAGGCCCTGATCAAGTAGTTACTCTTCACCAGCTGAGAATTAGCTGGTTTAAAAGTAAGTACTTTAGTTTTTTCTTTATCATCACGATCAAACGCTCACACGCTGCAGAAAGAATCTGCAGGCCAAGTTTATAGCAGACTTCATTATGAAGTTCCTGCTCACACTTCAGGTCGGTATTTGTAGTCACCTGATTCACAGCTGCTTGTCTGTTTTGACATGCAGGAGAGAGAGAAAAAACAGCAGCCACCTCAGCTGAGCAGCAACCAGGTGGCCTTGCATGTTTTGTTCCTGTCAGCATTCGCTTTGTAATTGTTCCTCAAGGAGACATTTTTCATCACTGAACCAGCAGAGCAGCTTTCTGAAAGCTATTAGCTCAGCTACAGAAATCACATGATAGGAAACCCAGACTGCCACCTAAGTCATACACAACAGAGCTTGACTGAATATGCCAGGTACATTTTCTCCAAATTATTATAGAGGGTTCCAGCTAGCAACTGATTTATGTCAATGATACTATCTGTTAAATATTGGATTAGTTATTAGACAGTTAATTTAGATCTATTTCTCAAGGATAACAACAAAAAAGGGCAAACACTTATTGGTGTCACCTGCTCACATGAGGTCATCTGATGTTTTTCTTTGTCTCATTTGAGACATAAACTAAAGAAAGCGTCAGAAAGGCACTTGAATTCACAGAGCTTCTCAGCTGCTATTTGTTTTGTGTTAGTTGCAAGTCTTTCGTAAATTACATAGGCTTACCCCCATCATGACAAACGACTTCTTGGTGGTTATAAAAGGGAAGTTAAGCATTCAGAGATAGCCACATGCATCAGTTTGTGAGTTCCTGTATTCTAGTTGATGCTGAAACGGGCATTATGGCTCATGCTCTGCAAGATGCTGTTAGTGACGCACTGTGCTGATGTTTACGATGATAAATGATGATGATGACGAAAACCACGATTCAGTCTATCGGGAATTATAGGCCCCCCTGGGTCCCCGGACCCTATTTTTATAAACATGTAGGTAGGTAAAATAAATCACCGCTTACGTCACGTGTACGTTGGATGAGGGTGGAGCAACTGGAGCATAAAAACTTTACATCTCCAGAGAAGGGTAAATCGGGGCAAAAGCTTAACTATGCGTGTGCTGGTGCATTTTGGGTAAATTTCTCCCCAAGCCCGACGGTCAGGAAGTTCGGGCCGGCTGATCCCGTCATAATGTAAACAACACAGCTGATCTAAATGCTCCTGAACTGTCATTCAATCGGCAAAATCAAACATGTTTGCCACGCGACGCGCCCCGTGATGTGATGTGCCTTTCCCGCACCCCAGCTAAAACACCGAGCAGAGTCAACCTTACCTCTCGGCACACTTTCAACCACTTCCTGCTTGTGAACTCCTTTTGTTGGTTTGGAAGCTGGGTGTTTGGTTGAGCCTGTGTCGGTTGTGTGGAGAAGTCTCTCGGGTCAGATGCGCAGTAGACTCACAAATGTGGAAGCAATGGGCTGGCTGACCGAGATTAGCTTCCCCTAGAGTTGGATGCTGCGAAAGATGTGCTGCCCAATAATAATACAACAACCGCGGCACGCCTCGTTCCCCCTGTTATTTGTTAAAAAGTGTCACGGGAGAGCTGACACTGCTCATGTGACTGCCTACAGGGGAGGGCAAAACATTACAAATATGATGAAAGGTACTGCTTGTCAGAGAAAACCACGCCCCCAACTGGTGGCCTCGCCAGGGCTTTATAAGTCACTTTAAATAAGTGTAGAACAGTGCAGGTGATGACTATGGATCGCAGTCTGTTCTGAGCAGCCTGTACTGAGTACTGTATGAGCACCGGCTCATTTAGCACACAGTATAGGTCGATCTGTATCCTGGAGTGCAATGCCATTTCCTCCCTCCAGGGGTCACCAAATATCAAAGAGGACTTACTGGTCAGACATGGGCACCGACTAAACCTGTCAAATAATGGCGTTTTTCTTGATTAAAAACAAAAATAAAACCCAAAGAAAATCAATCTATTCATCTCCATCCATTCAACTCCAGGAAATCAAACCACTTCTCGATGTAATCGAGAACGTTTGTACGGGAGTTGCATAATGTCGGTGGGTGCATAGCCTGCAGACTGAAATGTCATGCAGCATGTGCCCTCGGAAGCACTACTGCAGTATCAACAGCTGATCAGATGTTTGCAGAAGGCTCTAGTGCATGCAGTGCTGTGCAAAAGTCTCAAACGGTCCCTCATTTCTTTCGTTTTTGCTTCCAAGGAGTCTGTCTTGTAATTTATTTATTTATTTTTTAAAGGTATTGATTGGTTCTCCAGGTTTTTTGAAGGCCTTTTAAAGATTATTTTCTTTTTGGACACTGGCTGCTTTTCCCCTTATTTTCAGTTGTTTATTAAGCCACTTAACATTGACCTTTGAATCATTCAAGCTCAAGGGATGAGCCAGTGTTGTGTTTACTCAAAACAGAACACTTAGCAAAGAACCTATTTTGAATATCTTTTGGGACTTTGTTACTATCAGCCTTGTGCAAAAGCACACAGTTTATTCAAGCTTCTTCAGCTGAATCTATTTTTTTATGCCAAAGATAATGGAGTTTGATAGGCATAAAATAGTATTTGCACCAACCAATGTGATTCTCAAAAAACTATTAGTCAAAGGCTTTGTATATCTTGGCATGGGGTACAATGTGTTCTCACTAAAATCTGAGAAAACTGAACAGGTAGAAGACAAAAGACAGACCTAAGACAGCCTCACCAGGTGAAAAGTATCTAAAAGATCATCAGAAGGGTGAGTGACAGTGGCTGTCAAGAAGCCGTTCTTAAGGAAGGAAAACAGAGAAAAGCTCAGGTATGCCAAATTATTCAAGAGCTGGACTGAAAAATCAGTGGCAACAGTTTTCATGGAGTGATGAATCCTAATCTGCATTTCAGCCAGCGGTGTTGGGAATCTTGTCGAAATTTATGGGAATATGAACTCTGATTTACAAAGTAACTACTTTTATTAAAGCGCAGGGTAAAAAACATTCACACTCACATTCACACCTATGGGCAATTTAGAAGCAGTCACCACTTAACCTAACTCCACTGACTTTGCACTGTAGGAGGACTACCTGGAGAAAACAATGCTAACGCGTTGCCCTATCAGAACAATCTAAATAAATACTCAAATCTCTTTTAAAACTGTCAAGTCTGGAAGGTATGAGCATGATTTTCAGCTTTAATGCACTCTATATTAGAGTTAGTCTCTTGCTTGTCTATAAACTACCCCATATTACTGCAGGGTTGACAGTCTTGCACTGGCTCACTGTGTATTAAAGAATTAAAAAGTAGCGCTGTTTGTATTTAAAGTCTTAAATGGTCTTGCAGCTGCATATGTGATCAATTTTGTGTCCGTACATAAACAGAAATGCATCAGCTGTGGCTGTCTTTAAATCCGAGCGGATGACATACAGCTTTGGAAACAGCTGAAATGGAACTGTTGCTGGAGGACAGGTTGCTGTTGTGTTGTTTTATCTAATAATTCAGTTTAATTTCAATTCATTTTTATTTATATGGCACAAATTCAAACCAACAGTTGCCTCAGGGGACTTTATATTTAAGGTAATGACCCTACAGTATTAGAGAGAAACCCCAAATAATGACACAGTCCCCTGTGAAGAAGCACTTTGTGACAGTGGGAAGCAAAAACTCCAGCAGAACCAGGCTCAGAGAGGGGCAGCCAACTGGATGAGTATGATGGGAAAAATATTGCCACCTACTTTATTTTTCAGCATCGCAATAATCCCAAACACACACCAATGCAGTAAATGCACACCTAGAAAGAAAAACACACACTGCCACATATAAGTCATGGACTGGCCTCCCCAGAGTCCAGACCGTAACTCTTCCTGAAGACTATTTAGAGAAATTACAAGCTGCCTCGCACAGTTCAGGCTGTGTTGAAGAATAAAGGTGGTCCAATCAAATATTGACTTTTAAGCTCGTTAGAATTGTTCAACTCTGTTTCTGTCTGATATATTGTATTTCCATGTGTGTTTGAACATGCTTCAATAAATCTCTGCACCATTTTCCTGTAGCTAAATATAATGAAAGTGGGGATGTCTTAAGATTTTTATACAGAACCATATGTATTCTAATGGTTTGGCCCTTCATGACATAATATTGCATTAATATTAATATTGTGTTATTTTAAGTGTAATACTTTCAACATTTGCTTAAGATCTTAAATATTCCAGAAGTAAATTCGAAGAAATGTGATTACTTTAACTAAGAAAATCCACACTTCAGCGCTAAAAGCTTTTTGTTACTTCTCTGCAACCTGCATTTCATTCATTTTATCATTTCTCTGCAAAAAAATAAATAAATAAATAAATAAATACTCTCAAGGAGTTTTCTCCACAAAAAGTTCCCTTGTGAGGGTTGACCGATTACAGTCATTCTTGATCCCACTAAGTTGTAATATCATAGATTCATGTTTGTGTATTCATCAGGGGACAAAGGTGGGAAAACTCTGCACACATATCATCCTGCACGGTGAAGGTCAAACATCCAGCTGAAGCAGAAATGCTCGTCAGGAAACAGCACGATAAACAGGACATGTTTATCAGAGGAGAGGGGCTTTACGGACACATCCTCAGTTTGGTGCACTCATAGATTTATGGGATAGATCCGAGTACTAGTCCAGCTCCCACGTGATTCAGTGATTGTTTAAATCTGCTAAATCTTCTTCTTTTTTTTTTTTTTTCCAAAAATGCATTGCAATATCTTCATCACACTGAAATCGTCTCAATGTCACGTGAAATTAGACTTTTCATATTTTCTATAAAACGCCTGAAAATCCATCAATCATATGCTGTAGATTTTTATAAATGTAATCAACCTGTGTCTGGTGAGACAATAACTGTCCATGTGAGCACAGGATCCCCCGAGTAGTGGTCTGCACAGGAAGGAGGAGGCGGGGGGCATTGGATTTACGTGTATTTAAAAGATGGGTGTGGTTGACTTCTTCATGCCCGGATTTGAGGATCCTGCAAGCGCTCACCGCGTGATCCGGCACCCTGTTACTGAATGATTATATTCAGCAAAGAAAAGAAAAAAAAGAAAAAAACAGGAACCGTGTGGATACTGCCCAAGCGGTGAGGGCCGCCTCTGGTTACTGTCTGCAAGAGGAAAACACAAAATCTAGCGTGAAGGCTGGAATTCTAAGCGCTTCTTCGTCCTTTTTTAAATTTAAATTAATCAATTTATTGACAATTTATATTCGATGCACTTTCCGGATTTTACTCTGTAATTCACTGCCGACTTGGAGGCGTCTATCCTGATGAAGTATCGGCAGAGGGAGGAGGAAACCAAAGAGAGGAAGGAAACGAGGATAACGTCACGAAGACTCGGAGTAAAACGGACTGAGAATAGTGTTTAATGGACGATCCCTGATGCGGGCCGGGGAAAGAGCTGGGGCCAATTCCGTCTGTTTACGCCGTATTGGACGAAGATGTTTTTGTTAGGTTGTCGTGTGTGAAAAGTGGAAACGATCTGGAGAGGAAACAGCAGCTCGGCAGCAGCAGATATCATCTTGTGTGTGTGTTTTTTCCTCAGGAGCTCCGCTAAAGCAGAGAAATGGAAATGTGTGCAGCCCTCCTCCGGTTGCCTGTTTACTGAAGGGTTTGGAAACAGGCTGATCGTGACACACGGAACTTTTAAAGTGGATCTCCCGTGAACTTGATTTTTAATGACTGAAAAAGACTTGTAGTTAAATCCTCCGCGGGATTTGTCCTTTTTTCCTTTTTTTTTTTTGAGGGGGGGACGTTGCTTTCAGTTTTTCTTTCTTTCTTTTTTTATTTTCCTTTGCAGCAGGGGGAGGAAAAAAGGGCAGGAAAATCATCGGGAGAATTAACAGGTAGCCACCCATTATCCAAACGCTGTGACAGCAGATAGGTCAGCCTGTGTGTGTGGCTGGGTGATGGTGTGCGTATGGCATCATTTTGACCAAATACGATTAGCTACATCCGCAATTTTAGGAGCTCGGTGTCTAAAATGAGATGTGACGAAGGCCTTTATGACTGTGCTGATCAATATGTGAGGTGATGTAGCTAGGGTAGGGCCTTTTTTGAATTATGTAAATCTCTAAATCTAGACAGTGAAATAAAAATCTCTCTCGAGTGCATCCTTTGAGACTGGCCTGTACCCTCTTCCTCCTCAGTGCTGACTGTATTTCATTGTGGAGGCTCTTAGGCCATGCGTTCACATCCTCTGCCATCAAACATCCACTCTGCCCGGCATGCAGTGGTTGGAGGCAGATTTTAGCCATGCCGTGTTAGAGCACCTCCACATCAGATGTGTAATCAAAGGGGTGGGGCCAGGCACTCCTGGCATCTTTGCGTTTTTGTTCTATCACATGCTCTCGGAGGTTGGTGGAGTGCCAGAAGTGCTGGGGACACCGAGGACCTGCCATATTAACCTTTTATAAAGAGCATGGCCTAGCAGCAAGGGTCGTGTCGCTGCTAGGCCATGCATCATCAGTGCGGCAGTGTGATATGTGTGTCCTCACTCTCTGCTACTCTTTACCCACTGACTTCAGCACAAATCTGCGTGTCCGCCAGTTGATGCTCAGAAGCAGCAAAAACATGCATCTGAGCATCTGGCAGGACCCATGGCCTGATATATGATCCCCCTCCCCACACCCCCTTCTCTACCTCCCTCCTCCTCATCCTCCTCTCCTGCAGCATCTATTCTCCTGATTGGCTAAATGAGCAGCTGTGCCAGGAGACTGAGACCCACGATGCACCCCTTTTGGCTTCCATTAGTGCTGTGTGATCCATCTGGTCGCAGGTCCCTCCAGGGAACAGTGGTCTACTGTAGCTAATTGCTCTTCCTTGCACAGTGTAGGCTACTGTATGCATGCTATCTGTGGGGGTTTTTTATCTTGAATTTGAATAGCTTCACATATGCAAATCTATAGGCCACCTGTTTGGGAGAATATTTGAATGTGCAACTGTTTTCCCATGAGGAACAGGAAATACTGTAGTGCACGCCGCTGGAAAGCACAACATGGAGATGAACAGTTTTTGTGTACCTGTGTAATTTAAGAAATTAGGGACTCCCGTGTTCTTCAGCGTGAAGTGTTTGTTTAAACACAGTCAGCGGCTCAAATGAAGGATTGCTCCGTCCTGTATTAGTGCAAAGTTGGAGTTGTATGAGCATTGCTACCAGGCACCAGATAGTGAGCATTCACTCACTATCTGGTGCCTGGTAGCAATGCCGGCTTTTTGATAGCAGCTTAGTCATTGCAGATTATTCTCCTCAGTTAAACCAGGATGGGTGGTTGTACAGCCATAAACAGATTACAAGTTGTATTTTTTTCCCCTCACTGTGGGTTCAGTAAACCTCAGAGATTAAAATTGGGATTTTATTTAATTATTTTATTTCCCCAAATGCAAGTAGCGTTCAATTATTGATGAAAGTAGACCTCTGGATTAGTAGGTTAGGAAGTATAAAAATATGATAATCCCAAAAGATCTTGATATGCACTGATATTCATTTCATTTAGATTTATTTGATAATAGAGTGTGATATTTAAAGTCGTGCCCCATCCAGCAGGTGACACCTCGGACAGTTTCAAAATGAGTGAGCTGGAACAGCTTCGTCAGGAGGCCGAGCAGCTTCGGAACCAGATACGAGTGAGTGATGTGTGTCTGCTGTGAACAGTTTTACCATTGAATAAAATACTGGAAATTTGTTATTTACTAGCAGTGTCCTCTTTTTTCCTTCCCTGTGACTTCATAACCATTAGGACGCCAGGAAAGCATGTGGAGATTCAACCCTGACACAGGTGAGAGCAACTGAATGTGTAAGATGTATGTCAGCCACACGGGGATGGGTTAACCTGGCGTCAATATGGACCTATATACTTAATAACATGATATTGGGCACAGTGGAGAAAGCAGGAAAGCTATTTTTTTAAATTGTTTTTGATCAAATGTTACTCTACAGGACAAAATATCCATCCCTGCTACTCTCAACATGTCTCCAGGTTTCACCTGCACAGAGGAGTGACCTTTTCTTTTTGTAGCACAATTTAGAAATAATAGATGACGGCCATTTGTTGAACCAGCAGTAGTATAAATTATCAATAATTTCTGAATTTATTTTTACAGATGCATTATTCATATTGTCATATTTGACATGTGATATTAGTTATTTCTGTCCCGGTCTTGCCTTCGGTGTCTGATAGCCACTGTACTGTTACTCTTTAGCAAAACTCTGCCAAACCTTTTATCACACACCCAGTGAATGATCAAAAGAGTGCTAACTTGCTAACTTTACTAACTTAGATAACTGCTGGTCTGGATCCTGTGGGGCGGATCCAGATGCGGACAAGACGCACCCTCCGTGGCCACCTGGCCAAGATCTATGCCATGCACTGGGGTACAGACTCTAGGTGAGTCTATACTATTTCTAATGCTTTTGACTGCTTTTTGGTTTAATTTTTCTTTGTATACTATAGATTAAAGTTCCACCTAAAATGGTTGAGTGTAATCGGCCATCAAAGCCACTTCAGGTAGCCACTTCCTATCTATATTAGCTAGAATAGAAAAAGGCGGATACAAATAAATGTTTGACCTAAATTTCGCATGAATTTTTCTGTGTATTTAGCCTTTACCGATGGAGCTGACTCAATGTGAGTCTCCTCACCTCAGTTGAGCCACAGATCCACCTCATATGGATCACATCTGACCCACAGAAAATTTGCAAGTGGTGTAAATAGGCTTTAGGCCACCTGTGTCCATCCTGGGAATTAATTTCAGTTCATTGGCTGTGTGATGGAGCTTTTAGACTACTGCATTACCCAGTTTTCCAAAGGAGAAAAAGATATAAGTCCTATAATAAATAATTCCTGTCTGTAATGGTGTGAAAATATGCTGCAGTCTTTGTCTTTCACGATTCAACAAATGCTTCGACAGCTATTTAGTGGATTGTAATGACACATGGGACATACCTGCTCGGGATGAACTGTAGCACGTTTGGTGAAGATGTAATGCTTGATTTTCCACTCACACATGCAAATTGCCAGCGCTAATTAGTAAATGCTGAATGAACAAGCTAAACAGTCATAGTGGGCTTGTTAGCAGGCTCGCGTTAGCATTTAGCTCAAAGCGGCACGATACAAAAGCACAAGCATGACAAGCATTTTAATTTTAGTTCTGTGAAATCATTTGCTGACTTCAGGCATTAACCATGAACATTTCTGGCTGAGGCAAACATTAAAACAACTGATTCTTCACCTTGAACTCACAGAATCATCTCAGGCTGCAGTGTTTTGACAGGAAAAGCATGTTTCAACAGGTTTAGAGCACAGTGTGATAACAGGACTCAAATGCCAAAATTAAAGAGATCCTGTATTATTCAAAAATTTTCTGTTTTTTTTTTTTTTCCCCTTTTGTGTCTGCAGGCTTCTGGTTAGTGCCTCACAAGATGGAAAACTGATTGTCTGGGACAGCTACACAACTAACAAGGTAAAATCACTAAAAAGACAAACAAAAACCACGGCACGTCTCCAGCTGGAAGACTTGTCTGAACTTGAAATGAAAGTGGACTGACGTCTTCCTCTTGTAGAAGTGCTGCTGACTTTTCATAATGGCTTCTTTCTCAGTGTTACTGTGACTGATTGTAAGAGTCACAGTGGCATCGTCGTGTGTGGTTTCACAGTGTTAATATCTGCCCATTTTATGCTCTTTAAACTACCTCTCTTTTCTTAGATACACGCCATCCCCCTGCGCTCCTCCTGGGTAATGACCTGTGCGTACGCTCCCTCGGGGAACTACGTGGCCTGCGGAGGCCTCGACAACATTTGCTCAATCTACTGCTTGAAGACACGCGAGGGCAATGTCAGGGTCAGCAGGGAACTACCTGGCCATACAGGTGAGAGAACATGGCGCCCTAAGCTAACTATGTTAAAAATCCTCTCATGAGTAAAACTGATGAGATGTTTCAGACGAGCGTACGCCCCCGTGGGAAAGCTCCACTCCCAAACCTCTAAACAATGAAGACTTCATTTACATGGTTAATTAGTTGCAGTCTTAATGAGCTGAGATATTAACTCCTGTCTGTGTGACTCTGATTTGTGACACTATAACTTCTGTATGTTATTACATTTACACAATCTATACTTTGTTTTAGATGGCTAGTGCCACGATGAGTAGTAGCAGAACACACATTTAGTACTTGTAGAGTTTTCGATTTCTGTTAAACAAAATCAAAACATACAGTTGATTTATACATTTTATTTTTGATTTTATATTTTCAAGAAAAACGTGAAGTAGATGATTTATTGAAAGGTGCAAACATACATGTAAATACAGTATGTTAGCAAAAACTAGGTTTGCACAATTGTAACGAGCTTGAAAGTCCAAATTTGGTATGACTGCCTTTATTCTTTAGCATATTCTGAACTCTTTTAGGCAGTTTGATTGTATTTTCTTCAAGACGTCGTCAGGAATAGTAGCTTCTTGAAGAACTTTCCAATGCTCTTCTTTGAATGTTTCTGCCTTTTGTTCCATTTTCTGTCAAAATGATCCTTCACTGCTTCAATAATGTTGCGGTCCAGGCTCTGGGGAGGCCGATCCGTGACTGACAGCGATCTAAAGATGTGTTTGTTCTACCCAGTTCTACCCATTGTCAATGCCTTTACTGCACTGACAATGTGTTTAGGGCCACTGTCATGCTGAAAAAGGAAGCATTTGCTAATTGGATAATCAGATGCTTGCCAGAAGGTATTGCATGGTGGATCAAAATCTGGTGGTACTTTTCTGCATTCATAATTTTAATCAAGTTTCCCCAACACCACTGGCTGAAATGTCATCCCAAACCATCACAGCCTCCACCATGCTTTACAGATGGTCGTAGATACTCACTGATGTACCTCTCTCTTGAACTCCTTGGAATGTATTGAACCAAAAGATTTCTAATTTTAATCCATCACTTCATAAGATGTGTTGCCACTGCTTTTCAGTCCACGTCTTGTGTAAAGACCTGTTTGGGATACCTCTTCTTGGCAGCCACCCTTCCACTGAGACCATTCAGACAAGGCTTCAGTGAACAGTAGAGGGATTAATGTTATGTGTTGACACAACACTGGTTCATCCCTTGAGTTAAATGCCCTTTTCTTCTTTGAATGATTAGGCCAGTGTTACAGGGCAGATAAAAACATTCCTCTGAAAGTGGTCAGGTACAGGACTGAAAATGAGTAAAAAAGCAACCAATCTCCAAAAAACCCTCCATATTTTTACTCCTTCTAGAGCAGCTTTGCACAATTTACAGTTCAAAATAAGCCTCATTTATCCTGGCACTTCTCAGCTCATCCACTGTCTGAAGCCGAGAATTTTAGCAGCCTTCTTCCTGCTTTAAAGCCAGCTGTCTTCTGATTGGCTGCCTCTTCAGTTTGAACAGCAGGTGGGTGGGGCTGCTGTGCTTGAATCCAGAACTTTTTCCCTCTTCACTGACATCATACACAAGACAAGAATAGAAAAAAGTGTCTGAAACAGGGCATTGAGTTTTTTATTTTTTTGAAAGTCTGTTCATCTTTAATATGAAATGATATAATTCTATGTTTATATGTTATGTAATTATATGTATATAACAAAGGAACAGTGAAAAGCATAATAAGCCACATTTAAAGAATAGATAAGAGTCTGATTGGCTTAAAGAAGGCAGGTAAGAAGGTTACAAGAATCAGCCTGATAATGATGGAAATAATGACGAGAAGAGTTTGACAGTGTGGGAAATCAGAAGTAATAAAAAGAATACAACAGCAGGACTGGCACAGACACCCAGACATACAGGCACCACATGCAAACAGATCTTTCCTCTTGAACCTATGGAAAAGCTTCTTTTTATTGCAGTCGTGGATAGATTATTATGACCACAGATGCAGGATGCAAACATGCCACATGCCCACGTGTTTGCTCATGGAAAGAGTACACTCTGACGTGTGTTTCATGAGCACACCCGGCTTACTCACACACTAATAAAAGGCATCTTAGAACTACACTACGTACACAACTTTAAACTTACGGTTTCTTGCACTCGTGGACATGAAGTTTCGAGATTTTCATGAGTTCATTGAACTGTTCTTTTACCAGGTTGGAATCTTTTTTAATTTATTTTTTTTTTACAGTAGACATCTGCAGGCTTCTGGTTAGTGCCTCACAAGATGGAAAACTGATTGTCTGGGACAGCTACACAACTAACAAGGTAAAATCACTAAAAAGACAAACA